ATAATACTAGAACTTGGGAAGGATCCAATGAAACTGCTGAGAAATAGATTCAGGATAGACAAATGAAAAATACTTCATTGCTCAGTGATGGTTTTAATAGAGGATTAGGCAGATTCGTGGAGGGGAGGTCTGTCAGTGGCTACTCGTCATGGTGACTAAAGGGAGCCTCCATGTTCAGAGGCAGTCAACCTCTGAATCCCACTGTCAGGAGGCAACATCAGGGAAGGCCTCAGCTTCTATGCCCTGATTGTTTGGCCTTATGGGTTATCTAGTTGGCCACTATGTGAAACCAGGATGCTGGACTATTAGGGTTGCCAACTCCTTGTGGGGAAAAGCCTGGGGACTTTGAGGGGGTGGAGTCTGGGGAGGGGAGGGATCTCAGTGGGATATAATGCCACAGAGTCCACCCTGCAAAGCAGTCATTTTCTCCAGGGGAACTGATCTCTATCGCCTTGAGATCAGTTTCACTTCCAGGAATTCTCCAGGTCCCACCTGGAGGTTGGCAACCACGTGGGCTCGGTGGGCTGCGGGTCTGATCCCACTGTCTCGCCTTAGGCTCTCGTGCTGTGTAATGCCTTTTCATTAGGACCTCCGATCTTTCCGCGGCCAGTTCTGATGTTGCGAGGAAGGATTCCAAGCAAGGGGGAATCTTGAGTCCTGTGGCCAGACTACAACTCCCAGGATGCTTTAGGAGGGAAGGGACCAAGAATGGTAGGATCTGCCCTTAGACGCCTAGCAAACACTGAAGGGCTTCTCCTTTTTCCTCCTTACAGTGCCCTGAGAGTGAAGCAATCACTGATGCTACAGACAAGTTTACAAAGCTGCGGTCCTTCGTCAGCCAAGTCTTGGATGAAGCTTGTCTTACCAGAAGTCTGTGGAAATCCCTGGGACACAAATTCACGGTGTGTGAGAGAGAATGCTTAGGATCTTGAGGGTTGTGCACTCCACGCATTCCCCAAAGGTTCATCTGCTAGCAGACGGAATGCATGAGAATAGTTCCTAGTCTGCAGTTCTGGATGTCTTAAGAGTCCACTTGGGACTTCATCCAGGTAGCTTCTAAATATCTTCTGTGCTGGACAAGTTCACCTGTTATCCCATGTTCTTAATGTGGAGGCCATCTTAATTAGGGTTGTCAGCTTCGGGTTGGGAAATGACTGGAGATTTGTGGGGCAAAGTCTTGGGAGGGTAGGGTTTGGGAAGGACTTCAGTGGAGTTTAATGCCATAGAGTCCACCTTCCAAAGCAGCCATTTGATTTTCTCCAGGGAAACTGATCTCTTTTCCCTAGAAATCAGTTGTAATCCCAGGAGATCTCCAGCCACCAACCTTATTCTTAATGGAGGGAGTTGTCACCAAAGAAGAGGCTTAAATTTCTTAGACAGCTGTACAGCTTGCAAATAAATTGACAGCAAATGATTGAATAGTAAGAATATTACCTTTTTGAGAAATTAAGGTACTTTCCTTTATTTTCTTCATTTGTTGTACAGTTTTCTTATTGAGCCACAAGGCGGATTATGAAGTTAGCAGGCAATGTGATAAAACGATATAATGTATAAAAGAAATTTTGGAGTTAAGAACAGTGTAATGTATACTACAATTATGTGAACAAAAAAACCCATGGTTTATAAAAGTAGAAAACAAGAGTCTACACACTGCAGACTACATGCAATGTACAAAGCAAGAATAAAAGAAAACTGCCTCAGATTTTCATGGGCGTTAAAGCAGATTCCTAGTTACACTAGACGTTTTGAGGCTGCATTCCTAAGAATGCTTTCCTGACTGTAAGCCCCACTGAAGAAGATGGGACTTATTTCTTAGACCTTTTCAGGATCGTTTCTCGAGAGGACAAGTTAATTTGAGCTAATTTAAGATACCCTTGGTGGTGGGGTTGGTGGAAAGTGCCGTCAAATTGTAGTCGATTTATGGTGACGCCGTAGGGTTACCAAGGCAAGAAACAAACACAGGTGGTTTGCTGTTGCCTGCCTCTGCAGAGCAACCCTGGACTTCTGTGGTGGACTCCCATCCAAGTACTAATGAGGGCCGACCCTGCTTAGCTTCCGAGATCTGACGAGGTTAGCCTGGGCCGTCCAGGTCAGGACTCACTTACCTTTAAATGACATCCATTCCATAGGCACAAATCATGCAGAAACCTGGAAAATGTCAGAGCTGTTCTCTCAGGGACAGTTCTGGAAAGAGCTCTCTCAGCCCCACCTGCCTCACAGGGTGTCTGTTGTGGGGAGGGGAAGGGAAAGGAGTTTGTAAGCCACTCTGAGACTCCGAGTGAAGGGTGGGGTATAACTCCAATCTCCTCCGCCTCCTCCACCTCCTCCTTTCTGCTCACTGCTTAATCATGAGGCCTAGAAACATGCCAAAGATTTATTTAGCCTACATAAGATTTAATAGACAAAATTGTCAAGATTCTACATACGTCCACTGTTTCGAGCAGCCAAAGAGTACCATGAAGTGGTAAAAACAACTTTGTCTTCATTTGGCAGGATGTTCTCCGCATTCCGGAGCGGAGGTTGCTAGAAGACAGCCGGAACCTTACGGTCTTTTCCAGCATGGGCCGATCTGACCGTGTTCTTCTCTTCAACGATATCCTAGTGCTGATCCAGGTGAGACGATGTGAGTGGGGAAGCAGGAACCCTGATTGTTTGGCCTACGAGTTGAAGGACAGGGTTTTCTGACTAACTCAGAACAGAGGGTCCCTGAAGGGGCTAGAAATCATTCTAAAAGGGCTTTGGTTTTTCTCTTCGCCACATCCTGGGATACCCTGGGTGGGTGGGGGGAAGAACCATGATAGCAACATCATTGTGAGTTTGGTCGTATAGCTGAACATACGCATCGGGTGTCCCCAGCCCTTTTGAGTCTGTGGACACCTTTCGAATTCTGACACGGGGGGTGGGTGCAGCCACAAAATGGCCACTGCGCGAGGCAGCGCCAACCACCCGATGTCAGGAGAGAGGCTGCGCACGACGCGGATTGAACCTGTTAGCATTTCAGATAGATGTTTGAACGTATTGTTTGAAAACGTTTTCTTGCATCCGAACAGCTCACTTCCAGGTACGTAGTAAAGATCCTTTTGCTATGCTGGCAGCTGCTTGTCAAAGCAGTGCTGTCATGACCACCAGGGGGGGAGGGTGTCTCCACCTTCTGCCGCCGCCACCCTGGACTTCGGTCCCTTGAGAAGGCCCAGAGTTACCTTCCCAAGCCCCCTCCCAAAATGCCCCTTTTACAGCCGAGAAAACATGAGCGTGATGACCAAGGCAGAGAAACAGTGAAACAGAAAGGGTTTATTTTTTACAGTACTGGGCAGGGGAAAAAACAAGACAAGACCAAGTGCTTTAAAAAGATATAACAGTGGTTAAAAGGCAAAATGAACAGAATCCTAACACATATCCAGTGTTCCCTCTAAGCTGAGTTAGTGTGAGCTAGCTCACAGTTTTTTAGCCTCCGGCTCACACATTTTTGTCTTCGCTCAGGAAGGACGGCTCCAGAGCAAACAAATTTATGCAGTAGCCAAATTGCTTGCTCACAACTATAAAGCCAGTAGCTCACAAAATAGAATTTTTGTGCACAAGACTCCACAGCTTAGAGGGAACATTGCATATGCCTATTGCTGTTCCTAACTGGTTACTACTTCCATGCCCACAGCCTGCCTAACATTCACGCTGAGCCGAGTGGGGGATCTTTTCCTCCCACCATACCAGCCTGTCCCCTCAGTGGGACCAGGCCACAGAGAGAGAGACGAAATAACACCCCCCGTTTTCCACCGTTAACAGCTAAGACCAGGGGCGGATTAAGGCTCCCTGGGGCCCCCCTCCTTTCCACACTGACCCAGTCCATTTGAGTTGTTGACCTGTCTGACCAGATATGCAATGCAGGTTGCAGCAATACAGAAATGCAGGGGTCATTTCCTGCAGGAGCGCACAGGAGCGGAGCTCCGGCAGTAAAGAGCCCAGGGGGCGGGCACATGCAACAAGCCCCACCCCCTGTTCCCAGCAGCCCTCAGTCAGAGCAAGAAGCAGCCAGATATGCTGCAGAGCCCCCCTCCCCAGCTCCCCGGTCCAAAACAGTCCAGTGGCACCTTTAAGACCAAGTTTTATTCAGGTACAAGCTCTCCCTCCTCTGTGAGGACAGATCTGCATATCCCCACCCCCCAATAGCTAGCAATCCAAAACAGTCCAATGGAGCCTGAGCGGTGGGTGTTGCCTTCTGACACACTTCTGGTGATGTCAGGGGGTGTGACGTATGCAAATAAGTTATGCTAATGAGCTCCCTCACCTCTTTTTCTACTAAATGACCCCTGCAGAAATGTATTCATAGGACAACACAATATACTGTACAACCTAAGCCAAGCTTGGGCTACATAAAGTTCTTTTCACCCTTTCCCCCAACTTTGTGGTGCCCTCTTTGGCCCTTCTGCCCTAAGCACGTGCTTAGTCTGCTTCATGTTTCATCCGCCCCGGCTAAGACCGCCTCTCCTCACAGTCTGCAACCGTCTCCTCACAGAATCTCTGTACTCTCATTGGCTATAGCCCGTTGCTAAGC